GTGTGATGGGTCTCAAAAGTGGGTTTAGCTACCGGGTGGTCCTAACAGCCATCCACTGGGAGCCAACTCTCTGAGTTTGCATGTGGCAATTTGACAGGAGCATCATGTCCCTCACTCCAAGACTTTTTGCGGCAGGACCCGCCCATGCTGGCTGTGCTGCGGCACACCCTTGGAAATGAGAGCATCGAGGGGTGCAAGGATGTGCAGTCCTACTGCAACTCAGCGACTTGGATATACACATGCAAGTCAGCCCATGCATGAATCTTCTAAGATTCACGTGTTCGTTCGATCCCACTTGACCCAAGCCAGGCTTGGGATTTGGTTTCGCATCATAGCAGTCACTGGGGGCACATCATTCCAACATACAGGGCTGGATGTTGCTTTGCGTCTTCAGGTCTCAGCGCCAGTGCCGGGGAAGGACGGGTGTTTTTTTTCTTCATCAGCTCTCTCATACATCTTGCACTGGCTGGACACCTCTCAGAACCCCAGAGTGCCCCGATATTTTGAAGGCAGGACTTTCGCACGACAGGTGACCATTGGCAACTGTTCAAGGTGGTACAGGTTTCAGCCTTCAGCCTTCCATGCGGGGTGGTGCTTTGTATGGGAAGGGGGCCCGGAAAAAAAAAACACTTTTTGCTCCCTGCCAAAGACATCATGCTCTCCAGAAATCAAATCCCATGGGACCGAAGACAGGGCCCGGACGAGGGCCGGGGCTACGTGACGCGGATGGTCTGCTCGGACACCTGCGGCTGTGGAGATCCCGGAGGCGGTTTTCGTTCCCCAGAGAGGTTTCGGGGTGTGTTGAAGGGACGCCGCTACATTTTCCAAATCCATTTTGTTGTTTTTCTATTTTGAGACACGCCCATTTAATCTTTTCCATTTTCTCTTTTCGGACCGCGTGCTTGGTGCTTTGGCGGGCTCGACGTCCATTGCTCTTGTCAGAAGGATGGGTGTTTTCTTTGGGCTTGTGAACATGTTTGGGCCTGTGGATCCGGATTTTGGTGCTAGGCACGGCACAAGAGCCTTTGCACGATTCGTGCTGTATGCCCGCTCATGCTTTCTCGAAAGCCACTTCAGACTGGTCTTGGGCTCAAAATTTTGGTGACATTGCAAGCGCAGGTGTCAAGGGCATGCCACTTTTGTACAACTGACATACAGGGAGTTTGTGATCATTGGAAATAAGGTTTTCTACTCGTGCTAGCATGGAGTCCCCTCTGATGAGGCATGGCTGCAATGGCAAAGGCATTGTTGGGTTGGGGTTCCACTCGAATGAGACACCGAGTTTCACGCGAATTCAGAAAGTGAAGGGCCATCTCCTCGCGGCAGGTATGTTTGCCTACGTGCAGGGTTGTCCCTACGGCGATAATCGGCCCTGTTCCACCATCCCGAAGTTCAGAGACGAGATCTACCAGGCGGAACGTGCGACTGGTTGCGCCTTGTGAGACTCATGTGGCGGAGTGGAAGGGGGTTATGCAGGGTTCCTTTGTTTTGACTATCTTGGGGTAGACTTAAACCCAGGGGTGTCCCTTTTGGGGGGAAATCAACCACCCTTGGGTTTAAGTCTGCCTTGGGGTAGTCAAAAGAACGGAACCCTGAAACACTGTTTATGACAGAAGGCGTCGGATTGGATTCTCATGATTTATATCCACGGCTCCTCGCAGCTTCGGAAGGCGACATGTGAGGAGAGGACGCCTGCAGCTTGGCAAGTGAGCAGACGCTTTGGGCCAACACCTGAGGGCATCACCAGTTTTGGGGAAAGGGAAGATGACAGTGACTCGCTTTTCCACAGCTGTCTGAACTATGGAAAAACAGCAAATCACCGACGATGGTTCTTCACCAAATAGCCTTCTGGGATGCTTGAAGTGGGCAATTCGGTGAAAGCTCTCCCTCTCAAACTACTTTGTCCCATGTCCTGTCCAAAGACCGCCAAAAAGCATTGCATTCAAAAGGCATGACCATCCATGTATCCTCCGTTGCTTATGATCCTTTAATCTTCCGGACCTCGATTCCCCCTCATCAAAGGAAGTTTAGAAGGAACTTCCGTGTTACGGCAACTAATTGAAAACTAGCTCTCTCAGACAAATGACAAGAGAAGGAATAAGCCCACGAGGAAAAATGCGCGCGCGTGTGGCAGGGGCAGAGAAAGTCGCAAAAAACATGGCCCTGTGCGTGAATCGGCGTTTTCGGAGATGAGAAAGTCGCAAAAAGCGTGGCGCTGTGCGTGAATTGGCGTCTCCGGAGACGCGAAAGCTAGCCTGTCCGCGGCGTCTGGTCGGAGCGGGCTCGGAGGGCTCGGAGCGGTCTCGGAGCGGTCTCGGGGCGGGCTCGGCGCCGGGACCATTGGCACGGCAACGCAGAGGTTTCGCAAGGATTGAATTGCGTGGCAGGCGCAGCATTTTGGTGAGGTCGGGTGCAGATTTCGTGGCAGGCGCAGCACTTTCGCAAGGTCAACTTTTCTCAAGGTTTGAATTGCGTGGCAGGCGCAGCACTTTCAAAATGTCAGGTGCAGATTTCAAGGCAGGCGCAGCACTTTCGCAAGGTCAAGTGTAGATTTCGTGGCAGGCGCAGCACTTTCGCAAGGTCAAGTAAAGATTTCGTGGCAGGCGCAGCACTTTCGCAAGGTCAAGCACAGATTCTCAGGCAGCGCTTGTTGCTTCCCTTCGCAAAGGTCGCCACAAATTGTAAGGCTTATAATTTTGATGCTATTGGCATAAGATTTCGTGGGTATGTTACTGGCGAGTTTAGGTATAAGATCGATAGTTAGTAGATAAATAGATAGATAGATAGACTAGATAAATACACAGAGAGAAATAGCTAGATGCATAGATAGATAGACGGTTCGATAGATAGATAGACAAATGGAGAAAGATATAGAAAACAGAGAGATAGATAGCTAGATAGATAGAAAGAGAGATAGATAGATAGATAGATAGATAGATAGATCGATAGACAGACTGAGAGATAGCTAGAGATAGATAGAAAGAGATAGAGAAAGAGATAGAGAAAGAGATAGATAGATGGATAGATAGAGAGAGAGAGAGAGAGATAAATAGATAGATAGATAGATAGATAGAGAGAGAGAGAGAGAGAGAGAGAAAGAGAGCAAGATAGATAGATAAATAGAGAGATAAAGAGATAGATAGATAGATAGAGAGAGAGAGATAGAGAGATAGATAAATAGAAAGAAAAAGAGATAGATAGATAGATAGATAGACAGATATATACATAGATAGAGAGATAGATAAGTAGAAAGAAGCAGAGGTAGAGAGAGAGAGAGATAGATAGATAGGTAGATAGAGAAATAAAAAATAGATAGATAGATAGATAAATGTGGTAGATAGATAGATAGATAGGTAGAGAGAATGAGATAGACAGGTAGATAGAGAGATGGATAGATAGGTAGATCTATAGATAATTAGAAATATAGATAGATAAATAGAGAGATAGAGAGACGGATACATACACGTGAGATAATGAGATAGAGAGATAGATAGATAGATAGGTAGAAAGAGGGATACATAGAGAGATATCGAGATAGATAGATAGAGAGATAGACAGATAGAGAGACAGATGCATAGATAGATAGATAAATAGATAGATAGATCAATAGATAGATAGATAGATATGCGGGAGATAGATGGAGAGATAGATGGATAGATAGGTAGATAGATAGTAGATAGAAAGAGATAGAGAATGAGATAGAGAGATAAGAAAGAGAGATAGAGAGATAGAAAGATAGAAAAAAGAGAGATAGAGAGATAGATGGAGAGATAAATAGTTAGATAGATAAACAAACAGAAGATAGATAGACAGATGGATAGATAGATAGAGAGATAGATAGATATATCGATAGAAAGAGAGATAGAGATATAGATAGATAGATAGGTAGATTGATAGAGAAATAGATAGATAGATAGATAGATAAACAGATACAGAGGTAAATAGATAGATAGATAGGAGAGAGAGAGAGATAGAGGGATATAGAGAGATGGCTAGATAGAGAAATAGAGAGATAGATAGATGGGTAGTTAGGTAGATAGGTAGGTAGAGAAAGATAGATAGAGAAGCAAACGAAAGAAAGAAAGAAAAGACATATAGAAAGAAGGAAAGAAGGGAGGAAGGAAAGAAAGGAAGAAAGGAAGAATGACGGAGAAAAAGAGCCAAGAGAAGAAAGAGAAAGAGAACTATAGTTTTTATATTTTTGAAACTTCCGCCCACCGGCTTCGCCGGCTCTACTGGTAATCCAGGGTTTGAAGACCTGCCACCCCAATACTAATACCTAGTCTTGCTGGTACTCAGTATGAACGGTGGAAATGAACCCATTCCTTTAAAGGAAACCACCGGTTGGATGGTTTTGTTTCGGCAGCTCATTCCCAGCACTAGGAGTTGCTCCGGCAGCACGAGCCCTGGCTAAGCTGGGTGGAGGTCATCCGCAACTGGGCCACCGCAGGCGACTGCTGCGCCTTGCGAGAGGATTCCTTTTTTTTTTCTTTTCCGCGGCTCGGGGTCAAACCAAACTCTCCATATGTGTCACTGTTTGGTGCCCGGTGACCCACAAAAAAGTGGCTTTCTTCCTGAGGCCCTGGTTTCCCTTGAAACCGAGCTGAGAAGGCTACACTCGCTACGCTCAGAAAACCTTCGCATCAGTTCCATGCGCGCAGCCAGGTGGGAACCTAGATGGCCAGGAGGAAGCCTTGCTTTTGGCGCAGGCCTGTTGAGTCGAGGTGTGTCGGGCAAAAAGTGTACGTGCATGAAGATGTGTGTGCTCAAAATAAGGGGCCCGAAATTGGTCGGTTTCTCTTTTGCTCCCCTTTTACAAAGGGGGTTCACGCCAAAAAGACACACCCATAGATGTGGGCACTTGTGCCTTTACGTCCGTTTGCTTTGCTCAAAATGAAGCAAAGGCCAGGCGGCAAGGTGGCGGCACAGCTCAGGCCCTGTACGACCACGGCTGCGGCTTTGGTGAGAACCTCACTGCCCAGAGACTTGCTCGAGAGAGCAAAGGTGCCGCAAGAGGAGTCGCAGGGTCTTTACTCGGGGAGGGCAAGCCATCCATTTCATCTCCATGAATTGGACGGTGCACTTTTGCATAGGTGACAACAGATAGGTGCAAGTCAAGCGCTGTGAATGCAGCTGCAGCTCAGGAACGTCACCTGGGGTGACTGCCACGAGTGGAACGAGGATTTCGACTGGGATTTCAAGACGGTGGCGTTCTTCTGCCCAGAGACCTGCCAGTGCACAGCCGCCACAAGAGAATCCTCATGTCCGTGGCTTGGATGTCAAACCAAGAGACCGAGGTTCGGACCAAACACCACACTGTCGGTAACCACAGTCATTGCCTCCCTTGCCAAGTTAATAATCGCAAGCCGCATTCTCCAAATGTGGTGATGAGTTGCAAACTTGCCAGAACAGTTTGGGTCAAAGCACGTAGTTTGCACCTGGATGGCATTTCAGGGATCGAGGCTGTTAGCCCTGCTTAGCCCGAGGTTTCCTCGGGGGAAAGGAGACTTGGCACAGATGGTCTCTATCAGTCCATGTCATCACTTGCGTGACAGGGGGGGTTCAATCCATGCAGAGATGGATGCACATTTGCAAGAGACAGGATGGGGTTCGGTCAAATTAGGATGCGACCAGCTGAAGGACTGCGTACTGCAAAGGCAGCAGTATTACTGCATCGGCGACCCAGGCAGCGGAGAGAGGGCAGGGGGAAAGGGCCTTCGTTACCTGCTATTTCCCATCTTGACGCCAGCGACGCAATGCCACCAACACGCGTGTGCATGTGTGGGTGTGTGTGTGTGAGTGCGTGGGTGCGTGGGTGCGTGGGTGCGTGGGTGCGTGGGCGGGTGGGTGCGTGGGTGCGTGGGTGCGTGGGTGCGTGGGTGCGTGGGTGCGTGGGTGCGTGGGTGGGTGGGTGGGTGGGTGCGTGTGTGCGTGGCGTGTGCGTGTGTGTGTGTGTTCTCTGTGTCTCTGTGTCTCTGTGTCTTTGTGTTTCTCTGTCTGTGTGTCTGTGTATCTGTGTGTCTCTGTGTCGGCCTGTCTACGGCCTGTGTCTGTCTTTGTCTCTTTGTCTCTTTGTCTCTTTGTCTCTGTGTCTCTGTGTCTCTCTGCGTCTCTTTATATCTCCCCATGTCCCTGTGTCTCTGTGCTGTGTCTCTGTGTCCGTCTTTGTCTCTGTGTCTGCCTGTGTCTGTGTTTGTCTCTGTGTCTGTCTTTGTCTCTTTGTCTCTGTGTCTCTGTGTCTCTGTGTCTGTGTGTCTGTCTGTGTGTCAGTCTGTATGTCTGTCTGTGTGTCTGTCTGTGTGTTTGTCTGTGTATCTGCCTGTGTGTCTGTCTGTGCGTCTGTCTGTGTGTCTGTCTGTGCGTGTGTGTCGGTGTGTCTGTCTGCGTGAGTGTCGGTGTGTCTGTCTGCGTGAGTGTCTGTCTGCAAAAAGAAACGTGCAAACTACCCATTCTGTGACCACGCGTCTTGGCGAACTCGCATGAAAGGCGTGGGTTGGTTTGGGCACCTTAAAACGATGGGTTTTTGGGGGCTTCTTTGTGATCCTGACAGCCAGCCTCTGCGTGGAAAGAGCAAGCCTGTCATGTTTTGTGTTTATGTGTTGTATGTGCTCAACTGGGTGCTGCCACTGCTTCGGCCGAGCACATACATACACCCACACACACACACACTTATTCATGATGTTCGCAAAACAGGATTGATTGATCTCAGTTGAAGGACTGATTCCCTCACCCCCTCAACCCCCCTTCCCCCCAAAGCACACACACACACAAACCACCAACAAACAAAAAGCGTTCCCAAAAAAGACCTTGGCATAACATGTGGCCTATTCTCACAGAAGTGGAATTGTTTGTCCGGTGACGGGCGTGGGAGCGTTTTAGCTTGCGTAACTGAGACTGAGGTGTGGACCGGATTCAGGGCGGCATTGGGATCGCATATTCAAGTGCTGCGACTCGGCGATGTAGTTTGCGAAAAAAAAAAGACAAGTATTTCGTGGTGAACGTTTTCTTGTGTGGCGTGCCCAGTGAAAATGTCGCATGGATCGTGCTGACCAGGATTTTGCGATTGTGAAGCTGACGCTACGTGCCACGGCTTTGTACGGAAGAGGGCTGGGTCGTGAGTGCTTCACGCGCACCCGATCGAATATGTTGGGGGAAGTTGGTGCGATATATAGGCTATCCTGATTTTCCTGCCAGTCCCTCCTTTTGAGCCGTCAGGAATTCATCCTTGGCACTCCGCTTTGAGTCAGGTCGTTCCTTTGAGTTTCTCCCGAGCCCAGGCAGGGCCTTGGTGAAGTTGCTTGGCGTGCCCTGGCGGGCAGTGACAGTGAACATCTTCTTTGTCGAGGCCCGCTGATGTCAACACAGCAAGCTGAAAATTCGCCGGAGCCAATTGATATACAGCTTACGAAAGCATCAAGATCCATGAGAGGACAGGTTCCAAACACCTTGGTGCAGGGTTTTTTGCAGTCAACGGCATGCAGGCGGCTAATGATTTCCGTTTTTTGTTGTTGGAAGGCCTCCTTCTGCAAAGTCAGAAACAGGAAGCAGGATCCCGATCCTGTTATCCGATTATCGCAATCCATAGACAATCAAGCCAGCTTTTCCTGGGGCCTCCGATAAAGTTTGCTGTTGCTGGGTACATGCTGATCGTGCCGTGGAGGTCTACTTTGACGTTTGGCGCACGCCGCTGCCCGGCGTCGATCTGGATAGCGCCACTTTCCCAGCACATCGGGCGCATACAAATCCGCAAGATCCGCTGGCGGAACTCGGGACGTGAATCTGAGGTTGAACAGATCTTGATGGGCGTGGATAAAGAGCAGTTTCTCCAGGCGGGACTGACCGGTAGGGGCTCGAGAAACCTTGTGCTCGGTTGCTTCTCCTTGGCAATAACTGATGCAGCCTGTGACCAAGCCTCACAGCCCCTCATACTTAGCTTGCATCACAGCCTCCCGTATATTCCTTTGTGCAAGAGCGACCGATCTGCCAAACCTGGCAAATAGACAATTTGCAATGAATCAGATCTGCTTTGTCTGCGTTCTTCCAATCCTGAAAGAGTGCGCGACATGAAAGAAGCAATGCTGGAAAGCGGCTGGCCAGTTTGTTGCCGGCTAAAGTCAGACGTCAGGTGTGGCATTTTTGATGAACACTGAGCTTAGAGATCTCACATTGCAACCCGCCAATATGACTTGAGACTCGCTGGAAGTGAAAAGCCACCACAGCCAAGTGGTGCTGAAAGTTGAGCGAGCTTTCCGTTACTTTGCCGCTGGCAGGCCTGGAATCAACAGCTGGCCGCCAACCAGCTGTCGCAGCTAAAGGTGAGTGTGACCTACTTTCAGGCAAGCGTCTCCTGGTTGGTTTGCTTATCCTCCCGCCAACCATTTGTTTTAGCTGGCAGGAGTGGTGTTGGAAGATTACTTTCCGTGGGGAAGCCCCTGTCCTTTTCCAGAGTTTCTGTTGACTTCTCTGAACCAGCGTTGTTTGGCTTTCTTCCGCCCTGCTTTCTTTGGACCCATGACTTGATTCTTGAGCACCTTCGTAACTCTTGTTGGCCCCCTTTGATATTAAAGCACGTCAATCCTTGGAACCCTCCCGGATGGTCTTCCTTCCGTGGCTGCCTTTGTGTTGGACCCAGCAAACATTTCAACAAAGCCGGAGAGTATTGCCGTGTGTTGGTAAAGACAAGAGTCAACACGCGCAAGGAGGGAGGGAGTAGTCCACTGTCTGATTGCCCGCAGTTGCAATTCTAGTGAATTGCCAAAGCTGGAGTTTGGGCCGGAAGCTTTCCAAAAAGTTGGGTGCTTATAGGAAAGTGCCGGCCAAAAGTGCACGAGAAGTGTTTGCAGTTTGCTTGTGTGGATGGTCTGAGAGCTGCTGGTTTGATTGAAAGTCACAAGATAAAGGTCGCGGTCCAGAAAGGACGGATCGCTTGCATTTCAAAACCGGGGAACTGAAGTCAATGCTTCGGACCACGAAGGGAGGGCTGGCCTGCTTGCTTGGGACTGGAGACGATGCGCAAGGTGCATGACCAACTTGTGATTTGCGTATTGCATTTTGCCTTGTTTGTCCCAGTGCAATTACTTTTGGGTGTCCGGTACAATTTGCCAAGCTGAGAATTGCCAAAGCCCAGCATGCATTTCCCGTTCAGACCCCGTGCCGAGCACAGGTAGCCTCTAAAGGGACCGACGAAGAGGGCTGATGACAAGGCTGGCACGCTTTGCATGGCCATCGGGAAGATGCAACCCTGATCCACAGTAACCGTGTTGTGCCCAAATGCCCCGGTTTTGGAAGTCGTGAACTTGGCAGAATTTGAGCTCGTGCCCCCCCCCACTTCCCTCCTCTCTCCCTCCCTATGATGCGCTGCTTGGCGTTCTTGCTGGCCTGCCGAGCTCTGTGTGAAAGCCAGACTTGCCATCCAGATGGTGTGGAGTGTCACGATATGGAGGATGTCAACCTGCTGACTCACCACCAGCACTTTCCGCATCGACGGCACGAGGGTGGTCAAAAGATCCACTGGTGGAAGCATAGGCGAGGCGATGACAGTGATGACGATGTAGTCACTTCAGAATCTGATGCTGTAGCCTGCACCTATTCCAAGACCTATGCCTATCCAAGCACTGTCATCCAACAGGATTCAGGCGGTGTGTCCCAGATGGACGACAGGTGTAGCGATGCTAGCTACGTTGACAACACCAGTACGGCAACTTGCATTTTGAACTCAAACAGCGATGGCTACGATTATGATGTGTGGAGTGCTGATAGGGCCTGTCCATACCCAGCTGGTGCCACGGAGTATCCAATCACCACCACACAACAACAGTGCAAGGACTTGTACAACAATTTCACAGACTTGGGCGACAGCGTGACATGGAATGGGAAGACTTATTGGACAGGTATTGGCCACGGAGTGCTTGACGGTGTTCGTGGAAACTGCTACACCGCAAGCTACAATGGAAACCATGCGGTTATTTTTCAAGTGGATATCCGCTCATGGTCATTGGAG